TGTCTGCCATGATCTCCAAATGATAGTTTGTCCATTTTTCAATCAGACTATTAGATTTACTGCTACTGTGTTTTTGAGTTCATTATATATTCTGGTGATTAATCCTTTATCAGAGAGGTAGTTTGTAAATATGTTCTCCCATTCTGTGGGTTGTCTCTTCACTTTGTGCATTGTTTCCTTTGCTGTCCAGAGCTTTTTAACTTGATGTTGTCCCATTTGCCAGTTTTTGCTTTGGTTGTGTGTCATTTGAGAATATTACTTAAGAAATCTTTGTCCAGACCAATGTCCTGAAGAGTTTCTTAAATGTTTTCTTATAGTAGTTTTATAGTTTGAGGTCTTATATTTAAGCCTTTAATCCATTCTGATTTAATTTTATATATGTGAGAGATAGGGATTTAGTTTCATTATTCTGCATAGTCAGTTTTCTCAGCATCATTTGTTGAAGAAACCTGTTCTTTCCCCAATGTATATTCTTGGCAACTTTGTTGAAAATGAGTTCACTGTAGATGTATGTATTGAGTTCTAGTTTCTCTATTCTGTTCCATAGGTCTATGTATTTTATGCCAGTACCAGGTTGTTTTGGTTACTAAAGCTCTGTAGTAAAATTTGAAGTCAGATAATGTGATGATTCCAGTTTTTCTCTTTTTGCTCTGATGGCTTTGGCTATTCTGGGTCTTCTGTAGTGCCGTTGAAATTTTAGGATTATTTTTGTCTGTTTTTAATTAGGCATAAGATAACTCTTCAGCAAATTATATAGAACCTTCACTAAAGTGTGTATTCAATATTTTCTAGTTATACCTTATTTCTCAGTAAAATTATTTCATAAAGAACCTCTTCAATGATCTGGCAAGATGGCCAAATAGGAACAGCTCCAGTCTGCAGCTCCTAGTGAGACCAACACAGAAGGCGGATGATTTCTGCATTTCCAACTGAGGTACCTGGTTCATCTCATTGAGACAGGTTAGACAGTGGGTGTAGTCCATGGAGGGTGAGTAGAAGCAGGGTAGGGTGTCTCCTCACCCAGAAAGTGTGAAGAGCTGGGGAGCTCCCTCCCCTAGCCAAGGGAAGCCATGGGGTATAGTGCCATGAGGGACAGTGTTATCCAGCTCAGACACTATGGTTTCCGATGGGTTTTGCAACCCACAGATGAGGAGATTCCCTTGGGTGCCTACACCACCAGGGTCATGTGTTTCAAGCACAAAACTGTACAGCTGTTTGAGCAGATACAGAGCTAGCTGCAGGGTTTTTGTTTTGGTTTTGGTACCCCAGTGGTGCCTGGAACACCAGTGAGACAGAATCGTTCACCCAACTGGAAAAGGGGCTGAAGCCAAGGAGCCAAGTGGTTTTGTTCAGTGGGTCCCATCCCCACAAAGCCCAGCAAGCTAAGATCCACTGCTGGAAATTCTTGCTGCCAGCACAGCACTCTAAAGTCAACCTGGAATGCTCGAGCTTAGGGTTAGGAGGGGTGTCCACCATTTACTGAAACTTGAGTAGGGGATTTTCCCCTCACGGTGTAAACAAGCTGCCAGGAATTTTGGACTGGGTGGAGCAACACGGCAAAGCCACTGTCACCAGATGCCCACTTGAGATTCCTCCTCTCTAGGCAGGGCATCTCTAAAAGACAGGCAGCAGCCCAAGTCAGGGGCTTATAGATAAAACTTACATCTCCCTGGGACAGAGCACCTAGGGAAAGGTGTGGCTGTGGGTGCAGCTTCAGCAGACTTAAACATTCCTGTCTGCCAGCCCTAAAGACAGCAATGGATCTCCCAGCACAGCACTCGAGCTCTGCTAACAGACAGACTGCCTCCTCAAGTGGGTCCCTGACCTCTGTGCCTCCTGACTGGGAGATACCTCCTAGCAAGGATTGACAGACATCTCATACAGGAAAGCTCCAGCTGGCATCTGGTAGGTGCCCCTCTGAGATGAAATTTCCAGAAGAAAGGGCAGGCAGCAATCCTTGCTGTTCTGCAGCCTTCACTGGTGATACCCAGGCAAACAGGGTCTCGAGTGGACCTCCAGCAAACTCCAGCAGACCTGCAGAAGAGGAGCCTGACTGTGAAAAGAAAAACTAACAAACAAAAAGCAATAATATTAACATCAACAGAAAAGGCACCCATGCAAAATCCCCATCCAAAGGTCATCAGCATCAAAGATCAAATATAAACAAATCCACATAGATGAGGAAAAAACAGCACAAAAATGCTGAAAAGTCCAAAAACCAGAATGCCTCTTCTCCTCCAAAGGATCACAACTCCTCCCCAGCAAGGGAACTAAACTGGGCAGAGAATGAGTTTGACAAATTGACAAAAGTAGGCTTCAGAAGGTGGGTAATAACAAACTACTCCAAACTAAAGAAGCACTTTCTAATGCAATGAAATGAAGTTAAGAACCTTGGTATAAGGTTACAGGAACTGCTAACTAGAATAACCAGTTTTGAGCAAAACATAAATAACCTGATGGAGCTGAAAAACACAGCACAAAAACTTCATGAACCATACACAAGTATCAACAGCTAAATCAATCAGGTGGATGAATAAATATCAGAGATTAAAGATCAACTCAATGAAATAAAGTGTGAAGACAAGACTGGAGAAAAAAGAATGAAAAGGAATGAACAAAGCCTCCAAGAAATACGAGACTGGGTGAAAAAACCAAACCTATGATTGATTAATGTAACTGAAAGTGAAGAGGAGCATGGAACCAAGTTGAAAAACACACTTCAGCATATTTTCCAGGAGAACTTCCCCAACCTAGCAAGACAAGCCAACATTTAAATTCAGGAAATACAGAGAATGCCACTAAGATACTCCTCGAGAAAAGCAACCCCAAGACACATAATCATCAGATTCACCAAGGTTGAAATGAAAGAAAAAAAATGTTAAGAGCAGTTAGAGAGAAATGTCAGGGTATCCACTAAAGGAAGCTCATGAGACTAACAGAGGGTCTTTCTGCAGAAAGAAACAAGCCAGAAGAGAGTGGAAGCTAATATTCAACATTCTTTAAAAGAGAATTTTCACCCAGAATTTCATATACAGCCAAACTAAGCTTCATAAATGAAGAAAAATAAAATCCTTTACAGACAAGCAAATGCTGAGGGATTTTGTCACCACCAGACCTGCCTTACAAGAGCTCCTGAAGGAAACACTAAATATGGAAAGAAAAACCAATACCAGCCACTGCAAAAACAACCAAAATATGAAGAACAATGACACTGTGAAGGAACTGCATCAACTAATATGAAAAATAAACAGCTAGCATCATGATGACAGGATCAAATTCACATATAATGATATTAATCTTACATGTAAATGGGCTAAATGTCCCAATTAAAAGACACAGATGGGCAAAATGCCTAGAGTCAAGACCCAATGGTGTGCTGTATTCAAGAGACCCGTCTCGTGCAAAAACACATAGGCTCAAAATAAAGGATTGAAGGAATATTTACCAAGCAAATGGAAAGCAAAAAAGAGCAGGGGTTGCAATCCTAGTCTCTGATAAAACAGACTTTAAGCCAAAAAGTTTACAAAAGACAAAGAAGAGCATTACATAATGACAAAAGAAATCAATGCAAAAAGCAAAGCTAACTATCCTAAATATATATGCACCCAATACAGCAAGACCCAAATTCATAAAGAAGTTCTTAGAGATCTACAAAGAGACTTAGATTCCCACAAATAATGGTGGGAGAATTTAACACCACACTGTCAATATTAGACAAATTAATGGGACAGAAAATTAACAAAAATATTAAGGTTTGAACTCAGCTCTGGACCAAGCAGACCCAACAGACAACTACAGAACCCACCACCCCAAATCAACAGAATATACATTCTTCTCAGAACCACGTAGCATTTATTCTAAAATTGACCACATAATTAGAAGTAAAACACGTGTAAACAAATGTAAAAGAAAGGAAATCATGACCAACAGTCTCCCAGACCACAGTGCAATTAAATTAGAACTCAGGATTAAGAAACTCACTCAAAACTATACAACTACAGGGAAACTGAAAACCCTGATCCTGAATGACTACTGGGTAAATAACAAAATTAAGGCAGAAATAAATAAGTTATTTAAAACCAATGAGAACAAAGAAACAACGTGCTAGAATCTCTGGGACACACCAAAAGCAGTGTTTAGAGGGAAATTTATAGCACTAAATACCCACAAGAGAAAGCGGGAAACATCTAAAATCAAAACTATAACATTACAATTAAAAGAACTAAAAAAGCAAGAGCAAACAAATTCAAAAGCCAGCAGAAGACAAGAAATAACTAATATCAGAGCAGAACTGAAGGAGATATCAACACGAAAAACCTTCAAAATGTCAATGAATCAAGAAACTGGTTTTTTGAAAAGATTAAAAAAAATAGATGACTAGCCAGACTAATAAAAAAGAAAAGAGAGAAGAATCACACAGGCACAATAAAAAATGATAAAGAGGATATCACTACTGATCCCACAGAAATACAAACTACCATCAGAGAATACTATGAACACCTCTATGCACATAAACTACAAAATCTAGAAGAAATGGATAAATTCTTGAACACATATACCCTCCCAATAGTAAACCAGGAAGAAGTCGAATCCCTGAATAGAACAATAACAGGTTCTGAAATTGAGGCAGTAATTAATAGCCTACCAACCAAAAAAAGCCCAGGTCCAGTTGGATTCACAGCTGAATTCTACCAGAGGTACAAAGAGTAGATGGTACATTCCTTCTGAAACTTTCCAAACAATAGAAAAAGAGGGACTCCTCCCTAACTCAGTTTATGTGGCCAGCATCATCCTGATACCAAAACCTGGCAGAGACACAACAAAAAAAGAAAATTTCAGGCCAATATTCCTGATGAACATTGATGTGAAAATCCTCAATAAAACATAGCCAAACCGAATCCAGCAGTACGTCAAAAGCTTATTCACCATGATCAAGTTGGCTTCATCTCTGGGATGCAAGACTGGTTGCACATATGAAAATTAATAAATGTAAACCTTTGCATAAACAGAACCAATGACAAAAACCACATGATTATCTCAACAGATGCAGAAAATGCCTTCAATAAAATTTAACACCTCTTCATGCTAAAAACTCTGAATAAACTAGGTATTGATGAAATGTATCTCAAAATAATAAGAGCTATTTATCACAAACCCACAGCTAATATCATACTGAATGAGCAAAAGCTAGAAGCATTCCCTTTGACAACCAGCACAAGACAAGGATGCCCTCTTTCACCATTCTTATTCAACATAGTATTGGAAGTTCTGGCCAGAGCAATCAGGAAAGAGAAAGAAATAAAGGATATTCAAATAGGAAAGGAGGAAGTCAAATTGTTTCTGCTTGCAGATGACATGATTATATATTTAGAAAACCCCATTGTCTCAGCTCAAGATCTTAAGCTGATAAGCAAATTCAGCAAAGTCTCAGGATACAAAATGTGAAAAAATCACAAGCATTCCTATACACCAATAATCGAGACCCAAATCATGAGTGAACTCCCATTCACAATTGCTACAAAAAGAATAAAATACCTAGACATACAACTTACAAGGGATGTAAAGGACCTCTTCAAGAAGAACTGCAAACCACTGCTCAAGGAAATAAGAGAAGACATGAACAAATAGAAAAATATTCAATGCTCATGGATAGGAAAGATCAACATCATGAAAATTGCCATATTGCTCAAAGTAATTTATAGATTCAATGCTATTTCTATCAAGCTGTCATTAACTTTCTTTTCAAAATTATATTTTAAAAAAACTACTTTAAATTTCATATGGAACCAAAAAAGAGATTCTATAGCCAAGACAATCCTAAGCAAAAAGAACAAAGCTGGAGGCATCATGCTACCTGACTTCAAACTATATTACAAGGCTGCAGTAACCAAATCAGCCTGGTACTGCTACCAAAGCAGATACTTAGACGGATGGAATAGAACACAGACCTCAGAAATAACACCAAACATCTACAACCATCTTATCTTTGACAAACCTGACAAAAACAAGCAATGGAAAAACGATTCCTTATTTAATAAATGGTATTGGGAAAACTGGCTAGCCATATGCAGAAAACTGAAACTGGACCCCTTCCTTATACCAATATTAACTCAAGATGGATTAAGGACTCAAACGTAAGACCTAAAACGATATAGACCCTAGAAGAAAACCTGGGCAACACCATTCAGGACACAGCCATAGAAAAAGATTTTATGACTAAAACACCAAAAACAATGACAACAAAAGCTAAAATTGACAAATGAAATCTAATTAAACTAAAGAGCTTCTGCACAGAAAAAGAAACTATCATCAGAGTGAAAAACCTACAGAATGCAAGAAAAATTTTGCAATCCAGCTGACAAAGGGCTAATATCTAGAATCTAAAAGGAAGTTAAATAAATTTACAAGAAAAAAAAAACCATCAAAAGTGGGGGAAGGATATGAACACATACTTCTCAAAAGAAAACATTTATGTGGCCAACAAACATGATAAAAGCTCATCATCACTGGTCATTAGAGAAATGCAAATCAAAACCACAATGAGATACCATCTCACACCAGTTAGTATGATGATCACTAAAACGTCAGGAAACAACAGATGCCAGAGAGGATGTGGAGAAATAGGAGCACTTTTACATTGTTGGTGGGAGTGTAAATTAATTCAATCATTGTGGAAGACAGTGTGGCAATTCCTCAAGGATCTAGAACCAGAAATACCATTTGACCCAGTAATGTCCCATTATAAACCCAAAGGATTATAAATCATTCTATTATATCCTACTATATCCTACTATAATCTACTAATATTATTATATCCCATTATAAACCCAAAGGATTATAAATCATTCTACTATAAAGACACATGTACATGTATGTTTATTGCAGCAATAGCAAAGACTTGGAACCAACCCAAATGCCCATCAATGATAGACTGGATAAAGAAAATGTGGCACATATACACCATGGAATACTATGTAGCCATAAAAAAGGATGAGTTCATATCCTTTGCAGGAACATGGACTAGCACAGGAGCAGAAAATCACACAATGTGTTCTCACTCATAAGTAGGAGTTAAACATTGAGAACACATGGACACAGGGAGGGGAACATCACACACCAGGGCCTGTCTGAGGGTGGGGAGCAAGGGGAGGGATAGCATTAGAAGAAATACCTAATATAGATGACAGGTTGATGGGTGCAGCAAACCACCATGGCACCTGTATGCCTACGTAACAAACCTGCACATTCTGCACATGTATCCCAGAACTTTAAAGTATAATGAAAAAAAAAAAGACCCAATTGACAAAAAAAAAACCTATTCAATCATATACATAAAAACGAGCACACACACACATATGAGCCCCCACTATCTATATATATGTATATATACTTACACACATATATATACACACATAGATAATCTACTTGTAGATTAGATATATATAGATACAGATATCTAAAGAGAAGTAGTGAGAGAAATAGCTAAAAATCTGGGCCTTACACCTGGCACAAAAATGTGAACAGAGAATTTTATGGAATGCTGACTTAAGCATAATTTATGCATGGGTATAGTACATGGTTTACTTAACAATAATGTAATTGTCTTTTAAATTTTCCTCATACTTTGTGTTAATGTGCCTCTGTGCCATGTAGGCATGGAATACATAAATGAACATGCCCACACTTGTCCTATTAAAGTACTCATTTTGTTATCCCTCCTGGATAGTAATTTCTTAGAATAGAGACAGCGATTTGGGCTATAGAAAAGCTTTACACAGTGCCAAATTCAAAATAGCAGGATGAACAAATGAATTCTGGTACAAACCTGAGTTCCTCTAAGGTAGTATCTTTCTAAGGGCTGTCAGCTGGCTCCCTGCGTCAGCATCACTGGCAGCATTTGGGGAAATTGCTACCCCAAGGTCCCACACCCAATACCACCCACTCGGATCTTCTGCAAAGAGTATAGAAATATCCATTTAAAACAAATATTCAGTGACTCTATTATGTAATATTATATATCTATGTAATAATCCAAAGTTTATATGTCAAACATTTGCAAATCAAATCTTCTTTTTTTTTATTGACCCACATTAAGATACCAAAGCTTATTTATCTTCATTTTTACTAATCTTTCTGAATCACTGTTAATCATGGTTTCAGCTGTTGAGGTCACATCCCCAGTGACCCCCCACCCATGAAGATTCTCTCTGTGAAGTCCTTGTTTTGTTTTTTGCTTGTCTAAACTAGGACATGAAAGTCCCTGAGATATGGTATTTACAAATAATTCACAAGGAGGCTGTCTGCATTGACAATTGTGAACCCCTCTCACATTTTTTGAGTTTTCAATTTTCTTTTATTAAAGTTTGGTTTCTTAAAATATCAGCTTTCTTGAAGGAAAGTATGCCAGTAGCATCAATTCCTTTTTCTCAAATTCTCTTTGGGATTAATTAAATACAGTCTGTAAATCAAGGTTGGGGGTGAAGGAAGTAGAATTATCGCAGCAGCAAATTACTCACTTCATGAAGTACTTGGTTCATTACTACAGTATTTCCCAATAGTTACTTTGTAAAATATAGGACATTAGGATGACATTTTTGATTGATTGGATATCTGAGTTTTCTTCACCTACCTCTCCAAGTATTTCCCCCTGAGAGATGACGAATGGAAATGTGGGTATTTGTGAGATTGGAGATAATGGCTCTAACAACATACTCATGCATTTACAGATGGCCAGTGGTTGAACCAGGATGCAAACACAGGCCAAGGCCAACCAAAGCCTTATTATCATTTTCTATTTTGCTGTTGTCCGGTATTTTATGTGCATGTGTACATGTGAATCCATGTGATTATTTGTGCATCTGTAAGTGTATAGCATTAAAGATGGAGCTACTTCTGGACAGATGGACTACTTGATGGAGAAAAACTGAAGAGACTTCCTTGGTGTGGCATATTTTATCTCATTTTAATATATATACCCCCCGAAATTTTATATGTTGAAGACCTAACCTCTGATATCTCAGAATGTGACTGTATTTGGAGACAGGGTCTTTAAAGAAGTAACTGAGTTAAAATGAGGTCATTAGGATGGACCCTAATGCAGTATGACTAGCATTCTTCTAAGGACAGAGAGATGTACAGAAGGAAGACCATGTGAAGACACAGGGAAAAGACAGCATTAGCAAGCCAAAGAGAAAAATCTCCAAGGAAAGCAACTCTGACAACACCTTGATCTCAGACTTCTAGCCTCCAGAGTTGTAAGACAATACATTTCTGTGACTGAAGCCACCCAATCTGTGGTACTTCTATGGCAGCTCTAGCAAACTAATACACATATCCACCAGACAAAAGCTTGCAGTACCACTCTCTCACTCTCTAATGTAGCTTAGAGAAGAACAATGTTTTCATCATCTAGTATTCAGAATCATAAAATATGTAATATTTTTCACACATATATGCATTGTAACAGCATTCTCCCTACCCAGCCACCTGAAGATAACTTTTGAAATTGTGCTACACAATTTCCTATTTCATAATAAATTCTTTAGACTCTTACTTGAAGTCAGGAAGTAACAGATCAAGATTTTAATATCATTATTGCCATATAATTCCATGTTCTACTTATAGAGAAACCAGACTACAGGAGAAATTATTGAAGAAAGTATAAGAAGCCCTATATATTTTCACAGTCATAAATCCTCTATGTTACCCCTTGAGTTGCATCTAATTTCATAGCATGAGTTGTGGGACCATTCACTTGTTCCCTTATTCCTCCAAGCAAGAACCCACATAGAGAAGTTGCTTCTGAAGAAAATTTTTATACATGCAGAAGTTAATCCATATTATTCAACATGGATAGTTAGTAGGGAAGAATTGTTGGTGTTTCCTTAGAACTGATCAAGAAAAAGGATGCTCTCATTCTAAATTACATTACCATTCTTAATCCGTTTAACTGAAGTATCACTACAACTGCAAAGAAAATGCATCAGTATACCATAGATGGATGAAAAAAAGACGAATATACAGTCCAGACTGCTAC